TATTATAAATTATTAAATATCAAAGAAGACAATAGTCACAATCACCTGAATTTGAATTCAATACTTCATAATGAAGATGAAGATATATAAAACAGAAAAAGTACATGGAAATGTATTAAATGAAAAAAAAGGAAACAAATTAGGCACTAAAATATAAGAGTACAACATTGGGATGTGTACTGGATGGAAACTTTGGACAATTACAACAGAATATAATATAATACAACTGAAATGTTGATAATACAAGCAATAATAATGCTATTATAATCAACAATGAAAGAAGAAGTACTTTATTAATACCTGCAAAATTAATATAAAAGATTTAGAATATACCGGAAGCAACATACAGACTAGAATAATATTTTGCAGATTCATTTTGGCAAGTAAAAGTAAGTGTATACAATTTAAGCAATTTCTGATCAAGCAATATCAAATGAATCATTAAGTTCAACAATAGAGCAAGATTTTTATACTATTTGTAATTTATAATTCAAAATCATAATACATAAACAACACCATTTTTTCCATTGATTACTTTTATCATGAACAAATTGCATGAACTGAAATGAGTTATGTACTAAGAAATATTTATACAATAATTTTTTAAATATTAAATAGTTAAAATTGTATTTTTAAAGTTGATCTATTAGAATAGAAGAAACTCATATAATCGAAAAATACCTTGTATATAAGTTTTCGTTTTTTATGAATATAACAAAAAAAAAAATTTCCAATGTTGTCAAACTAAAATCAAGAAGATATATTTAAATGTTGAAAGGAATTTAAAATGGACACTATCACATTTTTGTAATTCAACAATAATTTTATTATCAATTTAATTTTTGATATTGACATTCCCTTTTAGTAATGTAAAACAAATTGTATAAAATAGTAAAAAAATGTCTTTCAATTTTAGAAATTAATCTCTCATTGAAGTAACAAATATTACCTATCATGAATGCATTATTATAACTACAACATAGGATACTGTAACTAAATTTTTTCATTAGTTTGCCACTTTTTAAATACAATAATTGCATTAAGAATGTAATTAAATAAATAAATCGACTCACTCAGTTTTTGTTAAATCAGACTGTGATATTGAAAGCTTGAAATAAGGTTTTCGAAGGTTAATACATATAATTATCGGTAAGATTATTTAATACTAGACCTTCGATAAGTAAAGATCTTACTGAAAATATTATTTCGTGCTGTTCTTATTTCAAATCTTCAATTAGTCAAAATCAAACGTATAATAATTCGAGCGTTACGATTATACTGTTTTTTTTTTTTTTTATTATAATTGCAAGATATTGATAAATAAATGTCTCTAAACATTTTCTGTAGTCGCATATAAAATTTTCTGTATGCTATAATAGTTGGCTTACTTCAAGCCCAAGAACATTAAGATTTACGTTTCACTATAGTAGATAAGACTGATACTTAAAAGATTTTTTACTCCTATTTAGTTCACAAGATATTTGGATATGGTTAATAAATATTACAACGTTGCAAAAAGCATCTAAGTTCTTCTTCAATATGAAGCTCTCTTTCCAGATAGATCACATTGACATATTTTGATAATTAAAAAATATGCTGTTACATTAATTTCAGTCCAATACACATTCCCAACCCTACAAACCTCTTAGGTTTGGGTCGATGCATATAACGAGCCAACTTTTGCTATGTATGTAAGTCATTGAATTAAACGTCGGTAGGCTCGTTATGCATTCACTACAGGCAAACGTACATACATACATATTCTATTAATATGATTAAAATTAAAGACTATTAGGGGGGAAGGATGTAGAACTATTACTGTGAGCCAGACTTAACATTGAGCCACTAAGGCTTTCATCGTCTGGATAAGATTCTTTTGATGCCTCAGCTATCGCCAGAGCACTGCAATAATTTGAAAAAAAAAAAAAAATGTATATAGGTACAGCTACAAAATCTCTTCTGAAAGTGTTAAATTTGTCTTTATATTGCAAAATAAGATAATTAATGATTAGCTTAGCATAATTTTAACTTTAATAATTAAAAACTGTAGAATGATGAAGGGGAATAACTAAAAAATATTAGTTTTGGAAATTTGTTCAGTTAAAACAAATATAAATTAAATTACATACCTGAATCCTATTCTTGTACTTTCTTCGTCAAATTGTTGTAATTCACGGTCCTGTCTCTCATGCAGTAGACGTATCCGTTCGCTACGTTCACGAAGAAATTCCTGAGTTTCAAATTCCATTTTCTGTTCAAGTAAAGCTCGCCTAACCGACACTCGGTCTTCTAATTCTCGACGTTCTCTGTTTCTTTGTGCTTCAGCTTGCATTTTATTCTTAGATTGATACGCCATTAATATTTCTAATTCATAGTTTAACCTTTCCTACAAAATATATATAAAAATTATAAAAACAGTTATATTGTTTTTACTTTTAATTTTTTATGTATTACTTTCAAACACCTAAACCAAGTTTTGAATTATAATAAACCCTTTTATCGTAACAAATTCTTTTTGTACATGCCTATGTTAGATCATATTTGTAAAACATAAACTTTTTAGAACGTTAACTTCACGAAAAAGTTTTTAATATCTTTTCATACTTTCTCAAATTCTAAATAAATGCGATATTTCACCTTGAGACTATGACATTCAACTTCTTGCGATTCATCTAAACGTATACTTTGTTTCTGGAGCATTTCGGCAATACTTTGTTCATACTGATCACCCAACAGAGCTAACTTTCTTCTTCGTTCCTCTTTTAATTTTTTAATAACAGCCTTTTGTTCCTCTTTAGCTGTTGTTTGTAATATTTGAGCTTTTAATGCCTTATATTGTCGTGTCTGTATTTTACATGTCTCTCTAAATTGTTTTCGAATTTGCATTTCTTTTTGCTAAAATAATAAAAATGATGAAAAAACTTAAATCTTTTACTGTTTAAATGAAATATGTTACTATTTTATAAAATTATAGTGTGATATTTACTTTAAGACTCTTAGGTTGCTGTTTGAGTTCCAATGCATGTTTCTTACGTAAATCACGTTCCGCTCTTTGCATGTAATCTTGTTGATTAGAAAGTTCAGTAACATGTTGTCGGTGAACTTGATCTTCTCGAAGGGCATGGACTGCCCTTTGCTGTCTGTATTCTAGTTCTTGTGTTTTCTCATGATGTCGTAGTAACATGGTATGTGCTTGTTCTAATTGTTGTTGTCTCTTATTTAACTCCTACATATAAAAATGCATATAGAAACTTTTCAACTTTCTTAAATATAAACAGACTTTATTTAGACAAAAATAAAGCTATACTAACTTCTCGAAGTAGTTCTTGCTCCAAACTGTGGAAAATGAGTAATTTTTTTCTACGAAATTTACGAATTTCGAGGTCAAGGTATTCCCTTTGACCTCTTGCAAGCCGTTGTTCTTCTTGCGCTTCCATTTGTCGTAAATTATCTTTGTGACTCTGAAGTGTAGCATCTCGTTGTCGTTTTGGTGTAACTTCATCTTGAGATAATTCTTTTTTCCATCTCTCTTTGTAAACCTTAAAAAATAAAACATTCCTAATTATCAAAAGCTATTAAGAAAATGTAGAAAGAGACTTCTGAAGCTTGTTTAAACGAAAAATAGTTATTATTATGTTTATCTTCTTACTTTGTACTCTTTCTTCTGCTGTGCTTCTAATGCTTTCCGATCTGCCTCTTGTCTGCTTGTAATTTCTTTGTGAAGCTTTTTCTCTGCATTTTGGTTTTGCTTAAGTTTACGTTCTAATTCCTGCAAGTGCTTTAATTGAAGTTTCTCCAATTCTTTGCTAAATTGTTGCAGAAGAGTTTCATATTCTTTATCTAATAATTGTTTATGGGATTCCATTTCCATTTTACAACGTTCTTCTAATTTTACCTATTTAAATAATTATGAATAAGATATTTCATGAAATACAAATAGTATAATTTTCGTATCCATAGATAGAAAACGAAAAGTTTGAATATATTAACACCCACCAAAGCACCTTGATGTTCCCGCCTCATTCGTTTATATCCACTCATTTGTTCATGCATTTCTTCTTGCATATGTTCTTTCTGTTGTTTTGTTACAATTGAAGTTGTCCTAATTGTTGCAAAATTATTGGCACCATGTTCAAGAAGATTGGCAGTGACACCGCCTGCTGATATTTTATGTCGATTTCGTACAGATCCAGTGGAATAGTCATTTGCATCAGCATTTGGCAGTGGCAGGCTATTGGTGGAGGAACTCTGAGAGCTTGCAGAAACACCCATTGAATGAATTGAATGCTCTGAGGTAATTGAATTGCTCTTGCTACTGTCACCACCTGTTTGTTCATCAGGAGTATCTATAAAAAGTAAACAAACACACAAATATAAATGAATCAAGGAAAAACCACGAATATTTTCAAGTTATTTTAGAAAGCTTGACAAGCCTAACATACCATCAGCATCACCAACTGTACTTTCATTTTCACAAGCATCGATCATTAAGATCTTCTTCATTTTCCGATAATTTAAATTATCCAATTCTCTAACAGCAGCTTTTGTTCTCTGAATTAAGTCTATTAAAACTTGTGGAGAACGTGTTCTTGTGACAAATTGATGCTGTAAAATTAAAAGCCTATAAGAAGATGACTAACTAAACTACAGTATATCTATTTATGTGAAACTTGAATAGTAAACAGTACAAAATTTGTATATTTAAGATAAAATAAAAATTTATGTAAAAGACTCACTGATAACAGTTTACCAGAGGTTGGCCTTTCAGTTGGACTTTTGGTTAGACACACTTCAACAAAGTGGCGAAAAACATCTGACCAATCTGGAGAATTTAAAGTTGGTGTGTCATTCTGAGCAATATGATACAGAGCACTCATAGCATTCATATTAAAATAAGGTGGTTTCCGCTCCGCTGAAATTAAAATAATCATAGCCTAATAAATACTTTAATATTATTTTAAATGACTTCAGTTTTTTGACTTTAAAAATATTTTATCAAAAAATTACAAATTAAAGTAACAGTCAATTTTCTTACCTAATTCAATACATGTTATCCCCAAAGACCATACATCCACTTTTCCATCATATTGTCCTTCATCCATAGCTAATATCACTTCTGGTGCCATCCAATATGGGGTTCCTACAAAGCTATTTGCAGGACACTTTATGCTTGCTGATCCAAAATCTGCCAATTTTACTGTTCCATTTTCAGTAAGCAAAATATTTCCTGCTTTAACATCTCGATGGATTCTTCCAAGAGAATGAAGATAATGCAAACCACGTAGCACACCTTCACAAATTGCAGCTATTTCATCCTCTTTTAGTGGTCTTTTATGAACTTCAATAATATCCGATGCAGAACCAAGGCAATATTCCATTACCAACTATGACCAATTCACAAATTTCATTATTGACAATTAAAATAACAAATACAACATAAAATAATTTAGTAATTAGAATGACATTTATTTGATAACAAATTTTGAAAAATATATACCCAGGCAGTGTGGTCCCTGAGATAACAGCCCTTGTACTCTATTGTATTAGGATGACTAAGATACCTAAGAAATCGAATTTCTTTTAAGATATCTTGCCACTTTTCAACAGTTTGTTTTCCCAGATAAGACATTTTCTTGATGGCAACAATTTCTTTGGTAACCAAACATCGTGCATAATAAACAGCCCCAAAACTCCCATGCCCGATCTCACGCAAGTCCTCAAATATTTTCTCCGGATCATTTTTCTCAAATAGTTCAGCAATCTCTGGGTCCTTAAGGCTACCAGGCCTTGGAACAGCTGGCATAGTAAAGTATTAATGATTAAATGGCCAAGGCCTATTTCAGACACCGTTAGACGTCTTCTTGTCTTTCAATCTTCTACCCTAAATTTGATAATCTTACTTAATCCTCTGTCAGTCCTTAATAACCAAATTTATTTTATGTAATACTATTTATAATTTAAATATACATTTATCCGTACTACTCTCAGTTTTATTTGATATTGAGTGTAGTAATAAGTACAATAAATACAGTAAACAAATAGTAATTAACATGGTTTTAATTAACACCAGAATTAAATCTGAAATAATTCTTCATATTGTACAAAACTATATGCAGCAAAAAAAAATTACTTTCAGTTAAACAGTTACATGTATCAGTTGTGTATACTATACTGCACAGTGATTTGCATACCTTCATTTTATATTTCTCTTAATTTAATTTTTTATGACACATTAACAGCAATAAGTCTCTCAATAAGATACCCAACAATAAACAATATTCAGCAGATATAAATATGCAAATATGCAAAATATGAAGCACAATTAAAAGATGGTTTTCACTATGAAACCATTTCCTATATAATTAAAATGAGCTTGACACTTATCACGAGGTCCTTAATACGAAACACACCATTCTATCCGTGGAAACTCATCTGACTTGAATAAATATTATATGTTTTTAAACGGAACATTCGCAAGGAAGATCGCAGCAAACGTTATTGGCGGTATTTAAAACTATTAAAGAACATGTATTTCGACCAAAGGAGCAGAAATAACAATAAAATTGGGGTTGGTAAGCAAAGAAGACGGTCGAGTGAAATTCGCAGGAGGTAGAAATGCGGGCGTAAGGAGGGTTGGGTCTCTGACTCGAAGCAATCGCGTCAGATTGGTCCCGCAAATACAGTAGAGGGACATTGTCGGTGTAGACGAAAACGCTTGCCGTGTTTGGATCCGGTGTACGACATCGTGATCAGATCCCGGTGTATCAACTGAAATTTATCCAGAGCTCCGGCAACAAGGAAAAAAATGATATTCACCTCCAAAATGGCGAAGGAGCAGGCACGGAAGCATGCGCGCAGCTCCGAGCACTCTCTTCAGGCGGAGCACCTCTTTTTCCTGAACTTGGCCGATCCTTCGAGCATATTAAGATCCGAGGATCACAATTTTTCGTTGTGCAAATGCACCGCACCCCGGAAAAGTACACGCCCCGTACGTGTCACGCACGTACGCACACACGCGCGAGACGCGACAATCCGCGGCAACGCAACAATACGGCACCCACCGTCAGCCGGACACACGAGAATTCGCAAACTTTTTGACGCCTTTTCGCCTGGCCTGGGTGTACTCTACACAGCAGGCGAGTTCTCCGTCGATGACGCGTGGCGCTCTACGCCGACCAAGTACTAAACTAGAAAATATTATCGATAACTATGAGTTACTACTTTATCACTTTTATATTTTAATTCAATAAAACAATGTTCGTAAAGAATAATAACCAAACTGCACAATAATAATAATTTCGTCTTTAAAATTTTATAAATTAAGTATAAATAATAAGAAATGGAATTAGATTACAATTTGCTACATTATCCTGAAATTCTGGGTGGATAGAAAGTTACATACATTTAATGAAAATACTTTCTGTAACCATTTTATTTTGTACCTTTTTCTGTATATATTTGCACGACATAAATAAGTTTTATATACTTTCGGTACAGATTTTAAATAAATTAAATATACATGACAATAACTTTTATCAACGTTTTAAATACAATTATTATGCAG